TCTTCTCTAATAGGGGTCGCCGTGATTTTTGCTCTAATTGTCCGCATTTCGCACAAATTTTCGCTGCTGCTGTGCATAGTTGTGCCCGATTCCGTCAAGGTGGACGTGGTAAGCACCAGTAACGGACGGGCGCCCCCGACCGCACTCGAACCTAATTCAATTATATTCGGGATGAGTTTTGTAGTGCTGTGATCACACAGCCCAGCCCAGCCCCGAGTGGCTCACACAGCAATATTCCCATTGCTTGAAAACGACGCAATCGGGTTAATAGCGAAATAACCGAGATCTAAGAGGTGGTGGAGGCGTGTGAGCCGCGCGGGGCCCAGTAACGCAGTCTGCAGAATTACTGGCTTGCCTAGCGGACCGCGGGGCCCCGTCGAAAAAGAGCGGAACGTGGTTCGGGTAGGCTGTTGGCTGCTTGCTGTTATGTGAGAGAGTCGTAGAAATGAGTCCGTTATCATACGGGTACACGGCTTCCGCCGGCGCGACGCCGCGCGACCGCTTCTGTGTTGTATGTGCGTGCGTGTGTATGTTACCGTACCCGCCCCGGACTACTTTTTCGTGTCTGCTCACTCCGCGCCCCCACCGCTATTCTCACCACTCGTCTATTACAGTGTTCTCATCAAAACGGCCATAAAATTATACCCCACAGTGTGTGTTTCTTTTCAGCAAAGACCCAACCCGCACCACCGGGAGCCCCGTTCTCTTCGGACGTCGTCGAACGGTTTTTGCCGTGCGGCAGCCCCCGTCAAAATCCCGTTTGAAACCAGCCTCTCACTCGCATTAATTTTCATGTAAAATAATCGTAAATGGGCATGTATATGTGCTGGCCGCCATCGCCGTCCGTCCCCCTACCAATACCATCATCCAGCAGCGCTCATCGCTTCCACAGCCATCAGCTAAAGGCTTCGTCTGCCTCAGCTGGCTGCTCTGCCTCTGAGTCTCGCTCTTGTCCCGAGACTCCAGCTACGACTCGTAGGCGGCAAGGTGTCGCTACCTTTTATATGAGGTAATGATTCATGCACCTCGCATAAACACAGTCATTCCGTCATCTATGCAACGTCGGCCTCAGCAGACCATCTGGCGCAATGTCTTGCTCCTCGTGAGCAAGAACTGTCTTTAATGGAGAAAAATTCATGAAGGTTTTCAGATAGGTAGTTGCCCCAAGAAGAACACAGTTCAAGAAAAATTCCCACATACTGCCAAGTAATTCACATCTGAGAATTTTCACAAACAAAATCAAGCTTTGTTCCCTGCTCCCATACCTAATTGACGGCTTGATTCCATCTCGAAATATTTTGAACTCTTTGTTTTTTACTATTTTTCCGAATAGTAGCGATTCCTAGGCATAAATCCACATTTTTGAGGAGGTATTTCTATGCCTTTGTTCAGTTCAGTGCCAATTATCTCTTTATATATTTTCCACAATCTAACATGATTTCAAAAAAAAAATTTCCTCTCACGAAACGAAATTTGAAAGAAAGATTAAAAGAAATTAATTTGCACAAAATCCATTGAAAATATTTTTCACTACAGCTTTTGGTGAGAATATCTTCGGGTAAAGAGAACCATAATGGAGGCAGTTAATTTCCAATCAAAGAGTTGAAGAATGAATTGGAAACTGCATTTAATTTTATAGTCTAAGTCTTGGTGTATTGAATCCCTCCTTTTTTCCCTTTCCTTCCCGGCGGCCTCTTTTACTGATTCTTTTAGCAGTTATTTTGCGCATTAATAAAAATCAAACATGTATCCCAGTTTACATCATCACGAAAATTTTTACATTATATTAGAGTCCACTATAGTAATGTCTCTGTATAGCCACAGTCAAAATAGTCCATTGCCTTTTCTCAAGACTCAGTACCTTCTATGGCCTAAACCCCCACATTCCCATGTCTCTCATGTGTCGCTCATCCATCTCATTTCAAAATATTCTTTTTTCGCGGAGCAGAGCGCCCTTTCAACGTCTTGCGCTAAAATTGCCCATTCATATAGGTTTATGACTGTAGGATGATGTCATAAAATGAATTACGTCATCAATTTCTCAAACAACTTCTAGCAGCCCTCTATAACGACGTTAAGAGACGTCCGGATGGATTTATGGAAGTCTATGAACATGTAAGAAAATCGTACATAATCGTATATCCTGCTAAGAGCTGATTGCGAAAATACCACCAGCAGGGTTGCATTTACAATTTTCACTCGATACTATCGTAATTTTAAACACCGTGCTTAGATAAGAGTTTTACAAGAGTGGCGATGGTTTCAGTCGATGAGTTCAAGCAAACCATTACATTTCCAAAAGTAAAATTATTACCAGTGCAAAGAAGTTTGAGGTTTTCTTTGCATAAGTGACTCAGTTTTGAAAAAGCAACATTTAGACAGAAACCTTACTTGGTAAAGAAAATTTAACTTTTTAAATACGTGAATTTGGGATTAAACAGCTCTCTTTCAGCGACAGAAATCGCTTTTCATCCACTTAGAATGAATGTGCGATTGAAACAAAAGATGACTTATTTTTCTTTGAAAGCACCAAATTTTTCCAATAGTTTTTCAATTTTTGGCGTTATTATGTTGAATCAAATTCACTTAGGTCTTTAGCTCTTTATCTTGGGTGGTTTTTTCTGAAATTATTAAAGGATTGCATCGATTTTTGATTTTAAAACTGATGTTCATAATAAGTAATGTAAATAAATGATTTCCCTTCTGATTAGACCTGAGATTCTTCTTGTAATAGCAACTCTAGCAAACCCAGAAAAAGGAATGTCTATAGAAAAGTGAATATATGCGCCTTTTTTGTTGACTGTCGACAAACTTGGTCAAAAAATTCGATGAACCCTGAAAAAAAAAACATTGAATTAGGTAGGGTTTTGACAAGCTTCAAAATATTCTTGGCTCATTAGCATCTATGATTCCAGTGAAATAGCGCAAAAATTACAAAATTCCTATCTAAGTTGTTATCCCATTTTAGTTCCTATCTATGTTTGAGAAATGGAAATTATTAAGACCGCTGAATACTTTCTGTAAAATCTGATAACCTCTCAAAGAATAAATCTACAAATACTACTTCTGACTCCATGCTATATTATTTTTACATAGCTTAGTATTTTAAGATATTGAATCGTTTCTAGGGAGAATGTTTCTAGAACATTATTCTCAAAGTTTTGAACGAAGAAGCCCTCTTTCTTCTTGTCCCGGGCTCCACTCCATGGCGAAATTCTTCTCCACCCACTTTTGTAAGCTTCATCGTCGCAGGTCAAGGTCATAAATCGCTACCGTATCGCTACAGTTCTTGCGCGATAAATGAGGCATTTCCTAGTTGTAGAGATTACTGCGTTGATCTGGTCTTGGTCGGGTGGGTTTTTTCAGCTCTTGTGCTCGTCGTCGTCGTTCCTCGAGGGTGGTCGTATAAGCTGAGGAGGGTGCGCGGCGGCGGGCACGGGGGCTGCTGCTAATTTGTACATTTCCGAGTGTGACTGCTTTGCCGTTTTATCGCATCTGTAAGATCTCGTCTCCCCTCTCTCTACACATATTCTAGATCTGGTTTATGCTTCTCTCAACGCAGACCTTGCCTAACAAACATTATATTTGTCATTACTAACAAGTAGCAAGCAAGCACAGCCCCCCGAAAACCACTAATAGACAGCGCTTTCAAGCACAAGCACTACCCCATCAAGCCGGTCGAGTCCGCTTCATTATCCTTCGTCTCACAATAATGTTAATTTTTTCATAACCTCTTCCTCAACTCTCGTTCGGAACCCCTTCCGTCTCTGTTTAGAAATGCGTGCCTGCAGAAAGTGAACCATTTTTTTGGCAATGACTTCCAATTTTGTTTAATTTCTTTTACCTAAAAATAGCGCTTTTTGCTTCCAACAAGAGCATTTTGGAAGTCGATTTTATAATTGAAAAAATAATGAAAATAAATAAAATTAATAGTGAAAAATTAGCTCCAGTAATTCCAGTCAAAGCATCTTCGACCTAGCTCATGAGCGATCAAGTTTCCTTCTGCTTTTATGGTTATTAAACCTTCTAGAAAGCTCTTAGGTGAAGGTGGATTATTACAACATGCCTTTTGGAGATGTTTGGGATTTTTTAAAATCATGAGGAAGAATATGCATTTTTACACTCTTTTTTTTTGAAAATCTTTTATACAAAATTTTCTAGACTCTCTTTCCTTACTGAGGAGCCCCGGAGAGGAGCGTCTAGAAATCAAACTCCTTCTAAGAGAAGGGACGAAACGAAAACTTGTAATTTTTCCTTTATGTAAGTTGAGGGGGAGGGGGGGGGGGGGAGCAGAAAATATATGAATATCTGAGGCACAAATAATGATATTTGCTATTTGTACCGCTTGCATGGCACCAAGTATGGACATAGTTTTCTGATCAGTCAGTAGATCACTTTGCAGAACAAACGTTTTCCGATTGTTAAACAAGGTTTTTCTACCGATAGATCATTTTGTAGATCAAATTCCATCAGTTATACGGGCAATATTCATTTATAAAAAGCCAAAAGACAATTTTGAGTCCTTTAATCTCATGACTAAGCTGAATATTCATTCTTGTTGTGTTTGAAGTGTAATAAAATACGATGAAAAATTTGAACTTTTATAAAAAAAACACGAGTGTATGAAGTATTCATGAAGTACACAATGCTCCTTCTATTCGCTCGAGTCATTCCCACAATTGACAAATTCTGCAAATTCTCCAAATTACTGCAACTGTATGACTACAGCTTCAAACCGACATTGTACTTCTGACGGCGAAGTTCCGTCATTTCGCCGAAATTTTACAGTAATTTTGGCATTTCGCCGGCACAATAGGCGGTGAAATTCTTTGCGAAGAAACAATAGAAATATGTCGAAACCGAAACAATGGACATGATGCTGATTAGGTGTGCTGATTCCTATAATAAGACTGCAATTCTCGAGTTTTGCATTATTTCTCGTCTCGTTCTTCACAGCTCGCTCTTGTCATTCGAGAAGGTTTTTGAGAAAATCTTCCCAAGTTATTTTCAGATATGACATCATTAATCGGAGGGAACAGCATACTACACATAGCAAATCGACTAGGAGGTATGAAGAAGGAAGTATCGAACGAAGGTTGGTCTGTTTACCTATTGTCCCCTTATCTTTGTGGTCCATATGTGTTAGTATTGCCCTTAATGTCCGAAATTCGTTCCTAATCGTTTTTTGAGCAAATCCTTTTACGAGCACTAATATGAGATGTTGTAATTGGAGCGCGTGATCATCCACCGATGCCGAATCCATTTTGATGAATCATAAAGAATATAAGAGCTTGTTCTGGATGCGCTTTTACGAACAAGGTCTAACGGCATCAGGAGTCAGAAATGTGACTCATGAATCTTTGCGAATAACTAGTTGAATTGCAACCATATATCTGCAGCTAGGGAGAGAGATTAGATGCTGAAAAAATTGCGCGAGCTTGTTTTTTACTCTATAGGTTTTCTTTTACGTCTAATTTTGAAAAAGCTGCTAAGCTACCAAAGTTGATATTTCCCAAAACGTCTCTAGTATCTATCATCATATTTGCGTGAAATATCGGAGCGATTGAAAATGGAGTTGAATTCGAAGCAGAGTAAAAATGGTTCATGATTTAAGAAAGAAATTATTGCTAAGATTAGCGAACTTAAGGTTTTAGTGAACGGCACTCAGTGTAGAGCTCTGATAATGAATACGTTGAGGGTTTTTCAGTTCGAGTGGAACTTTAACAAATTTTTAGCACTACTTCCTCTCTTCACCAGCAAAATCCCTAACTTTCTGATGTGCTGTCGGTTCCGACGATACCTTTTATCACATATTAGGTTCGAAAGAAAGTTCTCGGACATTGCTTTTAGATAAAGTTTTTGTTTCGATATAAACACTAATTGGGACATGCTGCATGCCATTGGATAGAGGAAGGCAGTTTCTACAAAACTATGGTAAGCGCAAACCTCATTAATGTTTTCAATGAAAATTCAAGCGAAAATCCTAAAGCATAGGTTTTTGCCCTAACCCAGATCTCCATTTTCTATAAATGTTATGAAACCCCTACATGCTCCATTTTATGGTATACACATACTTACACACTTTGATGCACTGTTCGGATCAAATTTGAGCTTGAACAACAAGAAAAACGAGGTATTTGAAAAGTGGCAAACTCCGCCCTCACTGATTCCAGGCTTCTCCACTTGCTTTAGTTTCAGCTACAGGCAAGAGAGAATACAGCTACAAATTTTTGCGCATGTACATACATTAGACTTTAAGATATAACAGATTTGTAAAAATGTCTGAGAACTTTCTTTCCAACCTAATAACAGTAGTAGCAACCGTAATCTTTGACCATACCAGGGTTTTGAAAGTAAAATTCGAGTACAATTTCGCGAAAAGTTCGCTTCAAAAACATTTGTTTACTTAGAAATAAATAAACGAGTGAATGCCAAACAAGCTGCAGAGCTCACCGTTGCTTATCCTTTTGCGCTTAGAATAAATGAATCCTAAATGATCTACATCCCCATCTCACACTCTGATCTTAAGCGATCCACTCTTATCAAGCTTCAACTCACCTTTTTCGCTTTCATTTTTCATTGAAAAAAAAAACTGCTACAAGCGCAGATCATCTTTCAAGTAGTCATAAGATGGAAAAAGATTGAGTGCTTAGAGAAGGCTTTTGCATAGCTCGACACTGCTCAGCCTGCTTTGTTGACTACTTTCCTGATATCTCATTCCATATGTGAGTTCCAATGTAGTTAAAAATGCACAAGCAAAGCAAAAATGTTTTATGATACTCCAGCAGGTTTACCAGTCCTCTGCATCTCATAGGAAATCCTTGAATAAGGTAGAGCAGTAAGTAAACGACTGTACACATAAACGATTCGAGGTTAAGTATTTCCAATGTTTATGGAATGCATACACTTGAGCAGGCATCTCCATATCCAAAAGTAAATTATCCTTCAGTATAGGGTTCACCTTTTTTGAATAGGGTGTGCTGGTGCAAAAAGTATTTAGAGGCAATGTTCATCCGGGTCCTCGACTTCTTATATGAATATTCAGAAGGCCTTAGCTGAGCCATTTGCCCGGCAACAGCACATGGTCCGTTCGCGGCCAAAAAGTTGAAATTTCAGGTTTAGTCCAGACTGTAATCTTTTCGAGCAAATCAAAATCGTCGCGCGGCAGAAAGGGATCCCTTGTGCTCGAAGCTGAATTTTGCAGACACGACTGAGTTCCTCAGCACTTGTACAGGAAATTGCTAGGGTCTCCAACTAGTTACCTAGATTTGCCTAGGCTTTAGCTTTAGCGCAGCTAAGGATTATTCTCAAAGGCAGTGTCCTATTAGCCGGGCCTTCTCATGTCCATGATTTCGAATATAAAGTCGAATCAGCTAAGGGAATCCGCAGGGATTGTCGGGGTGAACGGTGATTGGTTAGGCAGGCAGGCAGGCAGGGCGAGCATTACTGGAGGGGCCATTGCCGCCCAGGAGTCTTTTGTTTTCTTGATTAATCCGGAGCGATTTGCCCGCTTCCAAAACAACATTTTGCGCCCCGCCTTCGGTATTGGCTTGATAGGGTGCCTACTATCGTATGATGTCAAATATTCAAGACTTCTGACTTAGGTTGGGCGGTGCCTTTAAACACTGCCTGGTGATAGCGCTAAACCTTTGATTGGTCTTTCCACACTTTAGAGATTAAATACGAAAAAGCAGTGAAAGGCGGAAGTCATAAAAGGGGCTCGACTGGTTGCAGGGGGATATCGGTGTAAGCATGTGCGTGTTCGCACTATTAGACACTGCCGCTTTATGTGCAGACGTCATTTCAATGCAAAACCACCTCAGTCAGACTGAGTCCATGTAAACATGCAATGAGCTGCGAAAAAGTAGCGTTAGTTATGCCTGGCTAGGCAAGGTCATAGAGCATGGAACTTTAGAACTTGAAACATAGAACATTAGGCACTTACTGCAACATTAGGTAAGGGGTAGGAGACTATCAAGACATGAGGAGTATCGCCATAAATACAGCATGACTTTAGAAGTTCTACAGGAAAGCCACCAGAATTCTTAGCAAAAAAATTGATAAAGAGGAAATTTTAAGGACCCAAAACATACAATAGCACCGGCTACAAATGTAAATACATCTACAAAAAAATTCTCCGCGTGAATATGTAAAGAATTTATTTATTAGTTGAGTGGAAAATTTAACAAGTTTTCTTAAATGACATTGTGATCTGCCATTGGCACAATTTTGTGATCTACAGATTTTATAATTAACGGTGGCCTTTCTTATTTTCCAGCGGAAATGTGCAAGCGCTATTGCAAAAAGTATAACCACACCCTCCTCCCCAGAATGGGTCAAGTTTTAAAAGAAGCCTACAAGATGTAAAAGTGTACGAGCTAAATTTTTCACTTGTAGATAATTGAAATATTTTCCATTCAAAAATTGTAAAAAAAATTTCTTTCGGGGTCTTTAATTTTTGGAACTTCAGCCATGCCCTTTGATTTAGAGATCTCTGCTCCCCCCCCCCCCTCCACCCCTCGCCCTTGCGCGGAGAGCGCGAAAAAACTTCTGAGACCACTCCAGCAAGAAGAACACTAAAATCGAGAAGTTAGTCCCTTTGGACATAGGTCAAGATTAGCAAAAAATTTTTACGAGTAGATAACTCTTCCTGTAATAAGCCATGAATAGATTTTTCGAAATTTCCGATAGTGAGGGTGATGGGAGGGGTGCGCGACAAAAATTATTCTTTATGTCAGATAAAAGGGCATTGCCCTAACTGCACTTTCCAGCAAATAGGATTTTTTTAGATGCCCCACAACTCTTCTCACAAGCACGTAATCCTAAAGTTCTACAGGAAGAGTAACAGCGCCTTCAAAATTTGTTTACGAAGCTAATTCGAATGATTTGAAGCGGTGGAAAGATGAAACATTCAAAGATTTTGTGCAGTATCGCTGTACGAGTTTAGGACGTCGTAACAAAATTTTTGTTGGATAATTTTCCATAATATGCGCTAGAGCGAAAATAGACCGTCATGTTCATTAGCTATGTACATATATGATTTAGCAAATGTTCCATCAAAAACACATTGAAATATGCTTTTTGAGGCTTCACATATTTCGTTTCGAAGCTTCCACTGTATTAAGATGTTGCTGCATAATTTTCGCCAAAGCTTTGATGGTGTCCCAGTAACCGTTCCAATTTTAGCCAAAAATGTAGGAAACGTCCTTGTCCTCGAAGTTCAAAGTTGTAGATCATAAAAATTGCTCATTCCGCTCCTATTTGGGCTGTATTTGGGTCAGACATCTTCGCTTTTGTATGTGGGAACGTTTTAGCGAGTAATGTAAAGTAAAATGTGGGAACGTTTTAGCGAGTAAAATCATCGAAAACCTTTTCTCGGATTCTGTATTTTTGATGGCATGTTTTAGCTCCCAGAGTGCTCATCTAATCGTGCACAAGTACGAGAAAATCTTGAGCTGCTCAGTCTCGACTTGTCAATTTCTGGTGTTAAAAGCTTTTCTAGAAGATATCATTTTGTGCTAATGATGGTGTGACGCTGTCTGGAAGTTCAAGTGAGCGAATGTCTAGAAAAAATGGTTCGTATCCAGTCCCTTCATGCTGCATTACCGTAATCTGGCAGGGTATGGTAGGGGTACGGCAGAAACCCTGCGGTATTGTTGAAATTTTACATAGGACATTTAGTTTAGTAGAGACTTGCATTTGCAAATATCTACTTACATGGTACTACCGACTCATTATAACGCTGTAAAGACAGTTACCTAATGAGCTAGATTCTCCATAGCAAGAAGAATGAGGTAGGGATAAAATTGAATTTTCTCATTTCTCTGAAAAAAAAACCCAACTATTTAGCACATTTTTTAATGTGTAGATGTACAGTGCGTTTTTCGCTAGCAACACGATCAAGGTATCTTCTCCTTCTTCCGGTTTATTACCTTCCCAAGTCATACATGGGGGGGGGCAATTCGCCGGAAATGGATAATTTCTGATTATCTGAGTTAAAATTTTGAGAAAGTTTGAGTGCAAGAAACAAAATAGTTTCTAAATTTCTTTGGTAGTACAGATTAGCTTTGTGAAACATTTGCAGGACATAAAATTTGCTGAAGTCGAGCTATCGCCCCCCCCCCTCGCCTTTTCAAAGCAAGATAACTCAGATTGCTGCAGAGTAATATATGTAATATTTTTCCTAGGGAAAAATGATAACCGAAAAGCTTACATAATTTGGGGATTTTTCTAACGGGTCTCTGCTACTTATTCGCACGGAACATATTGATAAAACCTTACCGCAGGCGATGCGTACGCTGCTGCGGCGCGTATCTGAGCCGACGCTCATCATAGAGAAAATGTGAGAAAAGATACGCAGACAGTCAGTGAAAAATAAAGATTGCTTGCTGCTGTGGTTCATTTGTGCCTTTCTGGTGAAATCTATTGAGAGATCATCAGGATCACCTTCACCTTTTGACTGGTTCTGACATGTTAGTCAAGCAAGAACTTGTAAATTTTGCGCAAAATCTAAACAATTTTTAGGTCGCGCATTTGTTTTATGCAGCTGTTATCGTTGGTCGCTAGATTAATGCAGGTCCAAAAAATATACCTATATATTTGTATTTTACTGATTTTCATTTTTTTCATTGCTCAGCAGTGAGACACTACAGAGTGATTTTTTTTTGTTGCCATGACTGTTCATACAATTTTTGTGTCGTTTTATAGAATTGTGTGAGTAATGCTCGGAGCGATAACAAAACACAACAATCGCGAGCTTTTTCTTGCGTCTGGAAGAGTTTCCAGCCGAACAAAAGCGTCGATTCTGTCGGCAATTTTGAATCAGCCATTTTTCAGGATTGGATTCTGAGAGTGCACCATCACCGACACCACCGTCCATTCGACAGCCAACGCCTTTAACGGCCACAGCCACATTCCCCGAGGTTACTGCGAACTCCGGAAGTCCCGCACCGCCCCCGGCCTCGGACGAATCCGCGATGGTCATGTCGCTGTTCAAGGACAAGGATGCGGTAGGCCGATGCTTGCAGCTCGGATACTGTAGCCAATCATGCTCAATGTAGATCACTTACAGTTTACTGCGTCTCCGTCAACGTCGGAGTCTGCGGCTTGCGGCGACTCGTCCGGGCTCGTTACCGCCCATATCGACATCAACTCGGCCATTTCGCAAATGCAGCAGCACCTGAATGCTGCTCAACAGCAGCATAACATACAGAATAACGACGTCAAAGGTTAGGTGAAATTGAAGAAATACGAGGACCTATTGAAGGATGAAAGTTCTCTATACACTCTCACACTTCACTGTTACTGCGCTTCATATCAAATCTTTCTCTACAGGAAAAATGATATTGAGCTGTGATAGAATGATGTCTTCCAGCTTTCTTTTGGATCACTAGTACTTCTAACAAAAACTATCTTTCGCGAAGCAACAGAAAATATTACAATCAGCAAATCTTGGAGTTCAGTGTGTTCTAATGCGTCTCTACGGTCACCGAGAAAAATAATTTCTAGCTTAGAAATTATCAAAAAAACTTGAACGCCTTCATTTTCAAAAAGCACAGAGTGCGGAGATATTTGAAAGGATAGCTCAAGCTTTATGCACCCGTCATACTTCGCCGAAAAAAGCCCAAAAAAGCCCGAAAAAGCCCAAAAAGCCCAAAGAAGCCCGAAAAAGCCCGAAAGAGCCGAAATGCTCCTTCCGTTTTGACGCTAAGGCATGTGTGTTGATTTCGCAACCGAGTCTTTTTGCTTCATGCTCTATTGTCTGCGCATCAAAATAATGTCAGGATTCTACCAAAATTTCGATTCTGGGTTCTGGTTCTTTCGGTTTTTCCGGCCTTTTTGGGCGGAGTTTTTTGGGTGCTTTTGGGCTGTTCTCGGCGAAGTATGACGGGTCCCTTACTGTTGTGTAACCAGTAGTGGACCGCTCAGCAACGCTAAGCTCGGATATCTCGATTGTTTCTGCTTGCCTCTTTTAGATTTTTCTGTTTGGAAAAGTTCTCGCTTTGCGCTGCAGACTTTTACAAAACCGAAGGGCAGGGCTCGGCACAGATGGCTTGTAAGCAAGCTCGATATCGTTTTTAGGACAAAAAGCAAGGGGGAATCGTTTTCGAGACCGAAAAAACACAAAAATTGCGACGTTTTTCGAGGGTTTTTTTTTTGAGTTTAGGGTTTAGGGTTAAAGAGGACTACGTAAAAAACCGCGAAAGTCAAGGGCGACTTGGCGGTTTTTTGCACTCTGCTAAAGCCACCTCCTTCCGAGCCCTGCCGAAGGATCATTAAAGTTTCTGAAGGAGCATTGTGGATCAAAAATATTTGAAGTTTTGTTCTGATGCGCATTTGTAGCCGACTGTCTGCTCCTTCTCAAACACAATCTAATCGCTGGGTTCAGAGCAGAAAGAGAAGAGAAAATCTTGAGATTTGGTTTTTTTACTTTCAAAAGCACAAAATTTCGAAATGACTGAGTTTAATGAAAAAGAAAAGAAATGTAAGAAGGAGAATTTCTAAGTAAAAATTTTTCTAAGAGAATGGTCTTTCCATTGAAACCAGCACTCCAGAAAGAGATGTGAAAATGTGCAGCATTTCTGTTACAACCCTGATACCACGAGCAAAAACCTTAAAATGTGGGATGAATTCGGATAACCTCGATGGGAATGAAGTGAAGAAAAACCTTTACAGGTTTTTTCTTCACTTTTTTCACAGGCTGATCTGAGGAATTGCCTACCTGAGAAACTATACAAAGGAAAACTCATTCCACACAGAAATCTTTGCCTTTTCCTCCTTGGAAATTACTACGTCAACCAAATGTTCTCGTGTGCAATTGCGGGAAACTGGCTTTGAAACGCGCTTATCAATATTTCAATCTCCTTTTTTAGTAGCCGACTTATTGCCTGGATATTCGCCCTGGATGAGAAATGCGGGCCGAAAGAAATCACATCCTGTTTGGGAGTTCTTCAAAGATCTCAAAGACACTAGTGAGTTGAACTTTTACTAATTCAACAATCTGAGGGGATACAAGAGAGCTCCGAAAATTTGATCATGCGATAAAATGAGCAGATTTGCTTTCTTATACAAGTAAAAAGTGCGTCTGAAAGTCGCTGATTTTTGATTGATTTGGAACTTAATGCATGCAAAGTCATTCCTTCGAAACATTGAAAGACTAGCTGCAAAAGATTCAAAGAGTTCTAGTAATAATATCCATTTACATAAAAGTGAGATTCCAACTTAGCCGGAGTTACTAATATCATTCCACTCAACATCTCTACCATATAAACATTGAACATCTGGAATTCCATACTAATTTTAGCTACTCAATAACCAGATCTAGTCGCTTACCATAACCGGACTGGCATTACACAGTGACTTGGTAGGCGGTGGGGGGCATTTTGATTTATAGAAGTATTTGACACGCTGTTCGTGACATCTCAGTTACTTTGCACTCGAATGAGACTATCAGTAACCGGTAACCGCGCCCAAAGATCTAATTGTTTCCATCATCTCTGCTACTTATTGGGCAGGAATATAACAACCAAGTTTTCGTATATCTCACAAGCACTATAATCATATGACTACAGAAACTTTCGCGCAGGAGGTGCAAGAAGTTTGGGTAAGAGGAATGGAATGCAAATCAAAGAGAGATCTTCATGGATTGAAGACTTGTCTTGGTTACCCTCTATTTTAAGGCTAAAAAGGTTTTGGGAAAAAATAGTTTCGAATTACAGGCTCACGAGCCTGAAGCTGGTAATATTTGAACATACAGGACTTTAGAATCTGAATCGCAAATGCAACGCTGAAGGAGCAACATAACAACAGCGCCCCTAAATAATGAGTTACAAATTCCGTCCCAACATTTTGAATCAGGGTAACTTTGTTCTCTACGGTGGTTAGGTTCAACCATAAGAAAGCTGAACCTTACTGTTTCTGGCTACTCAACAGAGTACCATAGAGAACAAATCTATTTGAGATGTTTGCTTGATTTTTGCGATTTCGAGGTTGCGTTGGGGTGAATGTTAGGAAGCTTTTGTGGCATCTATTAAGCCGACGCTAATATTGTCCAAGCTCCATATTTTAGATGCAATAAAAACATTAGAACACTAGATTCTTTACAACTTTGCCCACACTTAGCTTCAATGAAAACATTAGCAATAGACCAAAAATTGGAAAAAAAAGAGCACTTTTATAGAGGTCTTCACTTGGTGTTACAGTAAGCCGTCCTTTTTGTAGCACAAGCCAGTAATACAAGAATGTTCAAAAATGGCTAGAGATGGAATTGCCAAGAATGAAAAAATGTCAGTATTTCTGGGTTTCTTCAATGGTCTTGCCGTTCCAGTTAGTTTGCCAAACCAAATATATAATTAATAGTATAAACGTCTCTTGCTGTGCAGCATGTAGGCAATCTCTGTCATAAACACTGTGTTCTCAAAATGCTTCTCTGCGCTGATCTGCTTGGGAAGCAAAAGCAAAGAAATTCTTTTCCAGCCCTTTCAGTCATGCAAAAATTTAGTTGGAGCAACAGCTCGGACCAAGTTATAGAGGAAGAGAAAAAACATTCACTTGTGTGTAACGTGCCAACGAAAAAGAAATTCATTGGTGAACTTGCCTTTGAACTTGAAGAGCATTCAATTTCGCCCCAATCCAAGTTTCCATCAAAAAGAATTTTGATATTCTAGTGCGGTCACTCCAGCTCTCTAAAAAATATTCTCATTTTTGACAAGGTGCCAGAATTGACCGTTCAATTCATGGACGTGGTGATATTCTGAACAAATCACGCAATGGGTCTAAAATACACAACCTTTCAGCTTCTCCAGCTTCGAGTACACTTAAAAATTAAATCCCCATATCTCCACTGTATTGTTCACCTTAGAGTGTCCGCTTTCTCTAGTTCGATCAAAACCGAAGATCTTTTGAGATTGAAGCTAATTATGAGAATAGAGAAGCAATAGACAAGCAGACTTCTGCTTCAAGTGATCTGTACAGACCCTATGAATTATGATTTCCGTCAACCACAAGACTGGTAGGTGACATTTGAGGGAAGAGGGAGGGAGGAGGAAGGGGGCTGATTGTATTACAGTAATAGTTGTGTTGCGGTTTTTTCATAAAACAGCTCAGTTTTGTTGGTTGGAACTCCGCGGTCTCCCTAACGTGCTCGTAGCTACTCCCACCGGCCGCCTCCTCTGCTACGATCGGTCATTGTTTAGATTTTCCTAGTGTGAATTCTGAGCATGTCATCTTGTAAATTATGTTGATGAATTGAGAAATAGAGTCATGTATATGCCCTATATCTGAGGTCATTATTTCTCAGAAGGGTTCTTCATGTAAGGAACATTGTTTATGGAAGTTTCCCTGACTATAGTTCCTCGTTAAACTCAATAGCAAAACTCCTGATAGAACTGGGGAGCTCTGAAAACTAAAGATAGTGCATTTTCAATTATGTAGCAGTTTTAAAAAGTACTTGACATCCAGAAGAATAGTTTGAATTTGTTGTTTGCTGGAGAAATCGCGAATCAAAATTTACCAGCAGTTTTGCGGGTTCGTAGGATTTACCTCCATACCGCTCCAATTTCTTCTTGTTCATGCTCCGAAAATCTGCTCACTCCCTCTACATCTTCACTCTGCCAGCCTCCTTCCCTTCTTTCTGAGATTTTCTATCTCATAGATTTTTTGTGCACCATGTAATTTAACTCTTCTTCTCAAAGGAAAATCAAACACTTTAGATTTACATTTATTGCAGCTTTATGATATTCGCCGAATGCGTAAAAATTGGAACCAAAAAATTAGAAATCAAACAGATCCTGGAAGTTTGGCTAAAGATCAGCCTGAATTATTCGTCGCTAGGAGCTCTATCATGAATCCCCTAACTTTCCACTACTGCAGATGTCCTCCGTTCCAGCGTTTCTTTTTCTTTTGTTTTTTTTGGTCACCCAAAGTGCAGCAAATGAACGAGCACGTAAAGGGAAAAAATGATGGTTAGCCATGCAAGACTCTTGAAATCATAATTACATCATCATGTAGCTTATATTGGTGTCAGGTGTCCAAGACGATATGAATATCTAGCAAAAGAATAAAGCCTTATCAAACTGTAGTTTCATCAAGGCTCCAGAATATCTGTCAAGAATCGGGTTTTTTCTTACTGGCTTCATTTTCAGATGGCGTTGGTGGAGTGGTGTGTTTGCACTGTTCCTGGCAAGGAGACGACCGTAGTCCGAACAATCTGCGCACGCATCTCAAGAAGTTCCACTCGTCCGACGGGGTCTTCGCCAGGTTCAGCGAAAAATTAGCGCAGGTGAGCCCATTTTCGCGCAATCAATTTGCATCAAATGAACGGGGTGACGAACGCGTTTTTACTGACGACGGGTGTGAGAGTTCGCCGACGGGGGCCAGTCCCTCTCATGCACAATGAATTCGAAGCGAACGTTTCGAGGAAATGCGGGGTGCGCGGGTGTCGGCCCCGTACCCCACCCCCGTCCAACCTTGAGCACTGGCCGGGACCCCGCCGAAGCTATCGATTCGCGGCCCACCCGTGTGGACACCCGTCACCCTCCGACCCGAGCCCGCTCTCTCGTTCTCGGTCCCCCCGCCCCCCGCCCCGTCCGTACTGCATCATGTCGTCTCGCCGTTCACGAACCTCTACGGGAATGTGCTCTCTAGCACCCGCCACATTTCACGGCTCTCCTGCTTTAACGTGCTCTCTCGAGCCGGGTTTTCCCCGTCTTTCAGTATTCGATGGCCGCCGGCCTGGCAGCAATGGCGCTCCCCCCGCGCTCCTCCATCCCAGTTTCAGGCCGTCGCAGACCTTTCTCCCCCTCGTTTTGTTTGCCTCTTCCACCGACATTGAGGTCTTTAAAGAGTGAACTGCGAATGTTTTTTTTTAGTTCCGCCAGCTTTTCCCGCACTGATCGTGTTCATGCCGTAATTGCGGTCATAGTTCGCGACATCGACTTTTCATGATCTTCCCTTCGCAGTGATTAGATCCAAAAGTTTATGGCTCGTTACATGCTTCAGCTCATTTTTTTTGACTGTATTCCTTCTCTCGTAGGTTTTTTCTTGCATGAAATGAGTGTTAGGGTCCGCGCATTTAGGACCATATTTCTTTACTGCGGATTTTAGAAGAATTCACAAGTTTTCAGACCAAAACTCATTGATGAAATAGGACAGAAATGCAGCTTTCAATGTATATGGACTGTTATTACCATTATTTCTATATGATATGTCTGCCTACAATTCTTTTACCTAGAAGAAAGTCCTGTTAGTTTATCGGTACGCCTGATTTATGTGGCGCTTTCTTTGCTCTGTAGCATTATGGAACTGTCCACTTCATCCCCTTCCTTTCATTAGATTATTTCAAATGTTTTAAGTACAGGCTTTTTGAGAGCGGTAAAATTTTTCGCGCATCCATGTTTTTCTCTTCCAAATTTTCGCTTTTTGTCCAAAAGTAAAACCGTGCACTTGCACAGAACTGCCAATCTAGCGCTTTTTTCTTTCTCTTTTTTCTTCTGAAGGCTCAGAGTGTTGCATCTTTTCGCGTATCTGCTCGGATCCCTCGCAAATCGACATTTTTCGTTCGCATTTGTTGCAAATCACTCGAATCCACTCGAAGTGTGCTTTTATAGTTCACCTCGCATGTCCTCCCATTTTGATCAGATGGATGCGTCTCCATCGACGTCATCTGTTGCCGATGATTTCCTGGCAGCCGACGTGTTATCATCGCTCTTAAACCCGGCTGAATCGCCAACGGAAGGCAAGAAGAAAGGACAAAAGGGCACGAAAACATGTAAAAAGTCATCGGAGATCTGGGATCACTACCGATTGCTAAACGAGAACCAGAATGTAGAGTGTGTCTATTGCTGGAAAGTACTGAAACGAGGCGATAGTAGTACGAAAAGCATGTGGGGACATATGACAGCATTCCACCAGGATGTTCTCGATGATAAGCAGAGCAGAAAGAAGCTTCGTGTAATGGCTGTCGAGCCACTTGAGAGGAAAAAGTTCTCAGCAATGGATGGCGAGGTAGGTGCCGGTGCACTCGGCAATTTCGGCTGTCTTGTATGGCTAATTTTCCTTCCACTTATGGTAAAAACTACTGGTTTCTTATTATCAGAAGCTATGAAATGGCCAGAACGGTAATCTAAGAATGATAATGTCTTTTTATGATTGCTAGAGTCGAATTTGCTTTTTTTCTTTTCTCTGCGACTTACTAGGATTATGTTTGCTGTTGTTCCGAGTATGTATCAGAAATGACGATTTCTGCAAGAACGTGAAACTTACAATTAGTGCATGCAATATGAGTAATGACAACAACTTGATTTTTTCTTCAATTTTGCAGTTATTTGTACGCGAAACCCAGTCATCCAACTTGCAGGACTTTAAGCGAAACAGAAACATTTTTGAACTCAAAGTACCAAGAGAACAGATTAAAATTTGGTTGATAAGCCATTTTATTGCAGACAAATTTTGCTTTTTTTCTGCCAATTTAATAGGATTATGTAGACTGATTAGTGCATTTGTTTAGATATTGCACTATTCTGCAAAAATGTAACGCTTGCAAGGTACATTTAAATTGAAAATTGTTGATAGTGTTTTTAATTTTGAAATTACTTCTCATCAAAACTCAGTCGTTTAACTTGCAGAATTTTTATGCGATACAGAAACATCCCTAAATTCAAATCATGAAGAATTAAGTGATTTATGAGACCTAGCTGATAAGCGTTATGCATATTCGTTTTTTCTTTCCAGACACCCACGCAGCCATATGTCAAGAGAGCGCGCGCTGGTGGAAGCAGTCAGGCCGCTCCACCGACAGACAGTGTTGCGCTCGCATTCCAACAATTGCAATCAGCCAGTCAGGTGCAGACCATTCGACAATTTGTTTTCGATAACAATCTGTTTGACTTCTTACTTAGTTGACTTCTCTTTCTTTCATACTCATGTGTTTTTACAATACTTCCATTTTAGCTGAATAATCCTTTCAACTTCTTGGAGAATCTGCCAAAGTCTAGTGAAGTTATCAACATATCTGCCGGATACCCTGTTGAAGAGGAGGAGCAAGAAAATGCTCATGAGGTGAGGAGTAGTCTATGCCAACTCATCATGTTCGAATTCGCATAAGGGATCCACATTCTTGTTTTCGTAGACTAATTGCGATTGCACACAAAATGCATATTGCTGAATTCTGATTTCACGGTTATTCTGCTTGATATTGACGGGGAATTTCTTTGAAGATTCTAGTAAATGTGGAAAGGTACAGATAAATTATCTCAAGGAGCGTGCGTATGGGTAAAGGAACGAATACCGCTAATAGGCGCCTCTCCGAACTACTGATCCTTCTCATATGTTATTGCATGCCTCGGGAGGACCAGTACCCCATAAAGGCGGCGCTTATTGGCAGTATCTTCCATCATCTCATACGTACCACTTAAACAGATGACGGTTTTATGCGCAGTGTACATGTTGTGTGCAACCGCCCATATTGAACAAAAAAAAGGGCTCGGCTACTTTTATAGCTCATTTTTTCGTTTTATCTTTTCCCTTTGAGTCTGAAATTCTTGCACTTTCCTGCTCTATTTTTTATAGATTTCCGTTCCCTTCCATACCTAAATATTAGGTTGTTGCAAAAATAATGTCCGTTTTGCAAATTTTCACTTTAGAAGGCTATAACTTCGTTCAATCTTCATATTTTTGAATGCAGTCAAGACCATCAGAAACAGCAAACCTTTCGTAATTTAGCGCGCGCCTGCTCATACTGATATCGCAGTTGGGAAGAAAACCACGCGTCAAAAAGCTAAAAGTTTTTCTCTCAAAAACCTCTTCTTTAAGAGCCTACAACTCCCTTCAAGTTTTGTTCGTATGGCTGGCAATCAGCTTATTTTGTAGCAGCAGACCAAGAGTTTATGAGAGTATAGAAAGGACTCCGACGAAAGAGTTCCGCGAAAAGAAAAGACAAAAATTCAAAAAAGTTCACTTTTCTAAGCCTACTTGTTATAGACTCATAAGTGTGAAATTTGAAAAATTCAAAATTCTTCGCGCTGTGAATAGGTGAATTCCTCTTCAAATATTGCAGTTGAGATGTGCTAATCTCAAGTTTACAGAAATGGGCGAAGCTTTGGCGATTGCCTTAATTATGAGAAATTTTTGAACCATAGAATGCCAGCAGTGAGTATCTCTTTCGAGGCGTCCATTTCTCAGTCCAGATATCTCCAAAAATCCACATAAGCACGCTGTAGGTAAACAATCTTCATCCAATAGAAATGCTATGTTTTCAGAAGAATTCGTTCATTTGCGCCTGAATTGTGGCCACGGAAACTCAAGCATCGAAATTTTAATTTTGAGTGCAGTTATGCGAGATGCTGGTGAAATTCTCACAGATGGGGATAGCAGACTATTTCCACCACCGTTAGAAAGTACATGAAGAGGGCTTTCCAATGATATGCAAATTCTATATTGAAAAAGAAAGTTTGATGGAAAAAAAGTTGTTTGAAATATAGGCCTAGAATAACGGACATTTTTGCAACAACCTAATAGATTTAATAAGATTAATAAATTAATTTAATTAATTTAATAGATCTAATTTCTTCTGCACCCTACTATTTAAAGATCAGATTCAGGAGATTCAAGCTGGATCTTCTGGAGGTTCATTGGCTGGAGATACTGCATCACCATTGCGTGAAGACGCTGCCACAAGCGGCGGTAGTCCATCGGTGACGTCAACCAATCAGCTGAGCGCATTTATGAACATGGCCACCAATCCACTTATGTGGAATGCGATGTTGTGGGTTTCTATTCTTTAATCTTGGTTTATAAATCTGTCATTCAAGTTGTCTCTTCAAATAATTTTCAAAAAAAAAAATTCAGAAGTTTGGAATTTCTACTGCATTTGTTTTTAGTCTAGTATTTTTATAAGAGAGCTTTTCTTTTCAATCAAGAGAGTCATTTTTCGCATAAATGATATGCTCGATGTACAGGCTCTTACACCATTTCTTATTTGGATTTTTTTAGAGTGAATTCTTCAACTCATGGCTCTGCTTTTTCTCTCAATGATGGCCAGTGTGTTTCGATGCTGATGAAAATGGCTCTTGATCTTGATCTCACTTTATCATACCATAAGCGGAGGTAAGTCATTTGATTGTGGTGGTTCTATATTGGTTAAGTTAAGTGAGAACCGGTTATAGGGGCGACATAGAACTCTGCTTTGAGAGCAACCGAACGGCTGAAAAAAGCGGAGGGCGAGGCAAGGTTCTCTGCCTTTCAGATATGGGCAGAGAGATAAGGTACAGGTGACGATTCTGAATCATTTGCTTGTCGCTTGAGCTTATCATTTGCGAGAGCCTGAAGTAAAGGCTGCTATTTCAGAGTTATCGAAAGGGTGAATGGAACGCCAACTGACACAGAAATGTGGACAAAAACCGATTTTAATCAGTTTCACTGGGCAATCCGTGGGAAGTGTCAAAAAGTACTGGTGAAAGGCTAGGTATCTGTTTACCCATGCCGATCTCTGATCAATCAAACTGGTGCCTAAGATATATCCCGAGTGACACTGAGAGTATACATGAGAGTTCTGTCCATAGAGATTGTCTCCTCATTTTATCACCGTATACTGCCTCTGCTTACCCCGCGTACAACGCTTTCATCGACAAACAGTCCTTCTGCCTTTATTCTGCCGTTCAACGGATGTTATATTTTAGCAAAAATTTATCGAGATTTTCTGACTTTTCTTTGACAAGTTGTCTACATACATTAGTGATATGATGTTGTTCCTATCCGGTTACTTTCTTTTCCTTTTTTATGCATTATTATTCTTGTGTATTATCTGCCAAATTCCTGCCGCCGAATTCATTTGCTGGGTCGACTCCAACGACTCTTTGAGTGCCGATTGAAGCGGGTCACAGTTTCTTCTATCATTTCTGAATGCATATGTTCTCTATCCTTTCCTCTCTTGAACAATCTCTGTAATTTCTTATAATTATAGGTGCTGATTTTTATTTTCGACACCGCGCTGACTTTATTTTTCAATGCTTTCGATTACTGTATCATCAATTGTGTGTATTTTTTTTATTAAGGGATCAACTATAGTCCTTAAAAGACAGTATATTGAGAACAATAAACTATCCCTCTTGATGTTTAGATCACTTCTCTAAACTTACTTGGGTTTTCGTTTGTATATGTTGCGACTATAGAAGTCTCTGATCCCATCTTTCCTCTGTCGGAAATGGTTTTGTAGCAGCTTGTAGGAGCTCGAAAGCGAGAAGCTGAAAGTGGAGGAACATATCCAATACCCTAAAATCTCACAAATGGGGCTCCTCCCATCAGACAAGCTCGTCTCCAAATAAGTCCTGGCTTATCAGACAGTTTTCGGAATTATCTGACAAGATTTTAGGGTAGTTACAATGGGAAAAAGGGGTTTACCTGTAGGGCGAACTTATCTGAAAGGTTCATAGGGATTTTCTGGTCAAAAGCGGACATCCTTATGAGATTTTTGGGGAAAATTCTTTGGGAAACGGCTTATTTATCAACTTCTAGAGAATTAATTCAAAAAGAAAAGCTATGTTTTTGAATAAAGCAGTCTACAACTGCAGGAGACTACAAAAATCTGACTTCGAATCAAACTTTGTACTTTGAACATAGATCAAGAATCACGCAAAATGAGATATAAGGTGTATTACCTGGTAGCTGATTTCCCTCAGAAAGTAGAGCAAGAATTAGCGAAATGTAGTGGTTTTGGAAGTCGTGAGGAATGATGTAAACTTGGCATTCATTTTTTTTGCTAATGCTGAGGTGAATTTTGAAAAGCTTGATCATCGGGAAGTGGTCAGAGTGCATTAAATACAGGGTGTCCCAAAATAATGTGCACACTGTTTGATTGTAAATAACTCTCTTAATATGAGGTCCTTCGAGAAGCGGTAAGCGCCATTTAGTAGAGCTGGCTTCAACTTAGATTCACAGTATAGAGCGAATCACCGACTGCTCTTCATTACTGTAGGGTTACGGTAGAAACTTGGAACATATGGGTGTCACTATGGAAAAAGCTGCCGTTTTAAAGATTTTCAAAAAGTTGTGGAAACTTGTGTAATAGGGTTTTTATGGACGCTGAGTTCAATACTCAGCTATTCACAAGATTGCGAAGCTTTCTAAATGGTGTAACCGCATTTTTTAAGAACATTGAAAAAATGACCGCTACCGCTTACCTGGCATAACTCTTCAATGAAGCATCATAATAAGTTGGAAACTTTTCAGTTAGAATCAGCAACTCTAATTGCCCTAGTGTAAAAGTTTCCAGGCTGTTTTGCTTCCTTTCTGAGGCAAAATATGGCCTTTCATGGCCCAAAACCCTCTTTCAAATTTCTACCGTAATCTTACAGTAACGGAGAAAGATGGACGATCCGCTCTATACTGTGAATCTAAGTTGAAGCCAGCTCTACAAAATGGCGCTCACCGCTTCTCGAAAGACCTCATATTAAGAGAGTTATTAACAATCAAACAGTGTGCACATTATTTTGGGACACCCTGTATAATTCATTTAGTTACCGCACTGAGAGGTTTATGTTTTAGGAATAGAAGGGGAGTTGAGCACAAGGTTGTTTACATCTTATGGCCATCCGGTACGCAACTTGTGCTATTTATAATTGAGTATCCAAAAAATAGGGGAGGAGTCTGAAGAATTTGGAAGCTATTCAACGCTTCCTTCTTCACTGGTCATCTAACGTACATACTATAGCATTCTGCAAATAACCATCGCTACTTTGAAAATAGCAAATCGAATTTTTACATACCGCGTAATGATATGCTTACGTCATCTGATGAACCGAACCTTGTCCCTACGCAACGGTGACCTGTAAACAATCCTTCTTCAGAAATGTAAATCAAAGAAAAAAATTAGGCATTGTTGGTGTAAAATTTTTTGCGCGTTCAATGCGCAAATCCAGGGCTTCACCAATAAGAATATCGTTAACTCCAGGAGTGGTTTTGTGAGCTTTGTTACTGTACTTCAAGTCTCACGTTTGCGGCAAAGACGATAGGACGCACGCCAAGGTATCACATTCAATATTCATAGTATTAGATGGCAGAACATACACTACAGAACAGTAGAGGAAAACTGTACTTACAAAATGCGTGGATGATGGGAATCATGAAGGATATAAAATACCATTGAGTTAGATAGGAATGAATACCTGTCGCCAACAGTCTTTCATCTGAGCCAGCATTTTACCTCGTTGACGACATTGCAAAATTTGGCGACTTGGCAACATGATGTTGTGTGATTTGCAACCTATAGACGGCCGCTTTTATCAAAGACTCTATGTTGGGTATAATTGGGTATCCTTCATGATTTTACCATGCAAACAGCTACTGTACGCAGCAGAGCACGAGCTACAAGCACCCAGTTATCAAATCTCGTTTTATATACGAAGCATATCACGAATTAACGTAAGGTACTAAACTGATAATGGTCGAATTAGTTTTGCAAGCAAGCAACTGCAAGAGTGGTAACCAACAAGAAGTTGAGTGGAAGCGGTGATTGTAACAGGTTCTTCAGCCATCAGATTGAGCAAAAAATCAGCAAAAGTGCTTTAGCTTGTCTTACATAGGGAGATTCAGATGCACATGCAGAAAGTCGCTTGCTCAAGAACAATTTGTTACAGAGTGGTCGAAAAAGGCCATTGATATTTTGTCGACATGAATACTCCTTTAGGTTAAACTGTCACTCAGACAATCACAAGTAAAACTTCCGGAAGACACTCCTATTGGAGGTGCCAGGTAGGGCGGGGCTAGGTAGGGCGGCCACCCTACGGCCCAATAGGAGCGTCCTCCCGGAAGTTTAAAAGTTCAGTTTCTCCGGAAATCATTTGCAGTTGTCTGAGGAAGAGTATCACCAGCATGAACCTAGGTTTATTCTAAGGCTTCGCATTAGTTTGGAGTCTGTTGTACTCTCATCATCGTTGATTCTGAGTTCAAACCAAAAAATTTCAAAAAGGGAATTTCCTGTGGTCATTCAAGCACTTTTCCCTTCTTCCTGGCATACATCCTCTTCTTGCTGAAGCTGGAGTGAGTAGATTGAAGTAAGAAGGGGCATTCAGACAGCGCTAGATTTTCTGATCAACATTTCTATTCATTTTTCTATACCGAATGGTGGCAAAGGAGTATGTCAACTGCTTGAAGGCGAAGCTCAAAAATGGTTGTCAAAGATTCTAGATCCTTTTTGTTCTGATTCCTACAGCAACTTTGCATCGCCCTTTGCTTTGGTAAAAGCTTTTCCTCTGTTTTTCTTAGCTATAACTTCCTAAAGATTTGTTGGTTTTCGCCTGAAAAGAAGGAAGAGGATTCAAGTCCATGCAGAGCGCCTTGAACTCACAATAAGTCACACCAAAACTGTTAAATTGATTTAGAAAGTTTACGAACTTTGCTTTAAGTTGCCGTTCACACCCCTTTCTTGCTCTTCTTTAGTATCGCAAATGTGAATTCTGCATGTTCTTAATGAATATACATGTTACCTTGACTCAGGTAGTAGCCTAACCTCAATCAACAGCTTCGAACAGATTTTGCCTGCAGTTATAGGAATCACTGCAACCATTTCTACGATTTTCAGCAGGTTAAGTTGATGGCAAAATATGAATACCGTTCTTCACTGCTGTTTTCAAGCTCTTTTTATTGGCATTCAAAGATAACTGTGGCAAATGAATTTCCTTCATTCAGCTTTAAACGAATGTTATCGTTGAGATGAGACAATCTTCAACAAAGGAGTAAGAATTTTTTCAGTAATTTTGCTATCAAACAAATTGTCAGCTCAGGATTTTTAGGAATGTATCGAATTTTGAGAAGTTTGAAAATGTCCTAAAATGTCTACAGGTGTCTGGCACGGTACGTCCACCCCGCATTTAATACGAACATGTAGTCCTTTCTTGAATGGTTTTGCCACCGAAAGTCAGACAAGTGGAAGAAAAGCAAAATCTCAAAGATTTCAAGAGTTTTATCCATGGTTAGGGCCCGGCATGAATTCGTTTCTAGGCTTCTTAAAAGCGAAGTAGTCCTCGAACTTTCGCAAAATTTTACGGAGTTCCGTATGACTCTCAGCTGTAAACGTAAAAAAACCCTTGAAGAACGAACCGTCGACTAAAAAAACGTCGCAAGTTTTGGCCACAAAACGATAACCCCTTTGCTTTTTCGCCCCAGAAACGAAGCCCAGCTTGCTTCCTCACGATTTGCGCTACACTCTGTCCATGGTGGCAATTTTGGTTTTCAAAATCTGTTATACATGTTTGGTGTCAGTGATCTTGGATATTTAATTAGAGTTCTTTTCAGGAAGCGAATAAAACCATGGTGGATGAAGCGCTGCCGAAGCTGCAATCATTATGCTGTTCCGAAAGTTCCTTCCGTTATCAAAAAACACGTGCCATGAAAAAAGCAAAACATTTCGAGCATTTTGACGCAGAATTCACTCCCTTTCTAGCAGTCATTGTTTCCGAAGTGATTATTACTGTAGCGGTAAGTTATCGGAATTTTTTACTCTATGGATTTTACCACTTCCAACTTCATCAATTTTCAGTATATTCTTTGCAGCAACTCAAAGAAGCTTTGACATTAAATTGAATGTAAAAGTGCAATAGAATTTCTTGGGAACCGGCTTCATTTGCTTTGAATAAAAGGCAATAATAATTTTAGAATTTTTGTGCCTGTATTGCAAGTATTTTCATGGTAAGTCGAAAAACAAGAATTTTTGAATTAACTCAACATATGTGAATTAATGCATCATAATGTTAATTTCTATGGGCTAAGATAATAGCAATGGTTTGAATATTTTTTTCTATTTCACAGAAGCTTTGATGTGTCCAGTACCTTGTGTTTAGTACCTTTATTTCACGAAAAAACTTGGAGATTTTCGATTAGAATAAACGAGAATATTTTTGTAATGCACATCACGATAGTAGGATAGGTGCGTTGCACACAAATGGACATTGAGCTTCAAAGTAAATCCAGTAAATGCGAGCTGAGGACCACTTTAGCCATGGATCGTTTATGTGGGGTTCAGATCAAGTGATGAATAGAAGTAATCGGGGTCATTTCGGATTTTCTGGAAGTTTTCGTACATTGAACGATCCATGTGATTCTTACTGTAGCTCTTAGGGATGCATTTGTGCGGCAGCTTGCACGGGTCTTCTTGGAATTCATCGTCGATCAACTACAAGGAAAATTGCATTGCAAAGAAAAATAGATCGTAGAAAACTCACATCTATTTGATTGTGCCATTTTTCTTTACAACAATGAGCGCACTTGTATACCTCACAACCCCTTTTCTTACCATGAAATGTGAATTTATAGCAGTCAGAGCTCTCTGGAATCCGGTAAATTAGCACATCGTGCTTTCCATATTTACTTACCTGTCGTTCTCCTACATATGTTTTTCTACCTGAAAAATTATTGTGGGGAGAAGACGAAGGAGGTGTGGGTTGAGAGCAAAAATTATCGCAAGGAGGAGATGCAGGAGCTGCGGGTTGGCAGAGAAAATTATTGCACGGAGAAGAAGGAGGAGATGACTGAGGAGGTGAAGAACCTGCGGGCTGGGAAGTAACGTCAGAAGAAAGTCGTGCTGGCACGGGACTTGCAAAAGTGAAGCTAATTGGGGATGATCGTTCTGTCGAAGGTGTGAAAGGCTCAGAATTTGGCGCGGGAAGCCAATAGGAATTTGACGTTTGCAAAAGAAGCTCTGAGGCTTTTGTTTCCACCGGTAGCATATGAGGAGTTGAAGAATGCCCTGAGTGATACACTGGCATCATTTTTTGCTCATAAAGAGGCTCGCGAGCTTGAGCTAAAAGCTGGGTAGCAGTTGGACGTGAAAGGAGAGGACGCAAGGTAGTTTGAGTGGAAACATTACGAAAATGACTTTCATTGTGCGAAACGACAGGAATATAGAAAACATTGTTCGAAAACATAGTAAAAAGGTAAACAAAAAAATATGCAATCGTACCTTTCACGTGAATCCTTTTATATGTGGTAGCGAGACACAGTGAGGTGTTCACACCTCATAAACCCTCCAAGGGCAAGAGGGCATGCACTGACCCGATAGAATAGAGGACAATATGTGCCTAGGGGCTGCACCGGTGCGGACAGCTGGCATAAAGTTTCAATATGTCGAGGTGCATAGTTTGTTGCGAATGTCCAAACCATTTATCGATGATAAAATGTATTTCATATTTATTTCTGCACTGCGTGAGCATGATTTGGTGCCGAACACCAAAATTGAGAAGACGCAAATTATCGGGTTGGCAAGTAGTGTTGCAGCCACTTCGGCGGCGGCCCAGGAGTTCCCAAAGCCTCGCCGCCTTTTCTTGCAGGGGTAATCAGCACCTCCAAGGGGCCTTCGCACCTTTTAGACGGCTCCGCCCACTTGCTCCGCCCACTAGCTAATCTTATTATAGTCGTCCTCACCCCACTAATCGGTCGGTGGACGAATTCGAACTCGAACTGGAGGTCGCGGCAGAGCACGGCACCTTAGTTCTCCGTTCAAATTCACACATTCACTTTGCGTATTTTTTCGACGTTGCTTAGCATTTTTTGCATTGTTACATCGTTTTTGACCTATATTGAGTTTTTGTAATTGCTGAGCGTTGTCTCCTGCCGCGCTTTGCCGTGACAGGCGTGCTCCAACTAAATTTGAATTCGTCCACCGACCGACTAGTGGGGTGAGGGCGAATATAGAAGATGTGCAGGCTCAGAGAACAATCCTAATGCATTCTGCTAAATGGGTGAATAATGACGGATAAAAGGTACAAATGAGAAGTTATGAACTCTACTTGTGGGCATCGGTTTGTCGGAAGCAAAGATACTTCCGTATTCTCGATTTGCAGCCAGAGAATGTGTGTATAGGTACCTCTAATGTGAAAACATATCCGTTGAGCAAGTTGCACAAGGCAATTTTTGATGGAGTTTCTAATTTTTCGGATTTTTCGGACAGTTGGATTTTCCTAGTTTTTTGGCTACAAAATCGCGTTGATCAAACTCATGCAACTTCTCAAAACACTACCACTACCATGTAGAGCTTGCTGTGTTCTATAGAATCAAAACCGCAAAATCTATCCAGAATAAGCGAAATCTGACTTATTGCGGTTTAGAACAGTTTTAAAGCTAGATCTTAACTTATCACCGAATAGCTTAAGCTTCTCAACATTTTCAACAACTTTTTACAGAGTTTGAGTGCCCTTTCAATACAAAAATTTCCTTTTTTTTTGAATCCATGTTCCGGTGCCTTTCATGATAATAAATGATAAGAAAGACCTTTTTCTGGAGAAATTTGTTGATACTTTTGCAATTAATTTTAGTTAAATATTCGCTGAAATTTTGTAAATTTTCTGTTATGCCAAAACGATTCTGACCTAATATCTAGGTCGATGCAAAAGTTCTCGCCTAAGTTAAAGAAAATATAATCACTCACTGAGATATGAACCTAAGTTCATGGCTTCTTCAGGAAAAGAAGTGGGTTTTACACTTCAAGATAGTTATCCCAATTCATCTTTTTGCTAGCACCTCAGAGAAACAAGTTTTCCAAGATTGCACTGCAAATTTCTTATTGAGTCTAATTGTAAATAGTGCCAAAGTGGTAGTATCAAAATGGCGATAGTTATTCTCAAGAATCTTTGAAACGTTCATAGCAATGATCCGTACGTTTGACAAGCTTTAATCTATAGTAATGCAGAAACAAAAACTGTGAAAATCAACTTATCAACTCATTTTCTTCACTTAACAGCTCTTCGAACCAAAATACAGACTGGTTACGTAGAGTACTGTAAGGTTTCTTTGGCGGGGTTTCAAAGTGTCTTTGCTTATAAAGTTCAATAATTAGAAGATTTGCCTCGCAAAATGACGATTTTTTTAAATGAATTTTCGTTGCATGCCTATGCTATTCCCTCAGCCCGCAGCCCTTCGAATGGGACTAATGAAGGAGTGGAGCGGGAGGGCGGGGTTTGACCTCTGTTGTGCGAAGGTGCGAGGAGCCTTCTGGAGTGTGAATGCTGGTGCGAACGGAGGTGCTAGAAACTCCTGCGTCCCTTCCCAGCCACTTCCATGATTTTACGGTTTTTTGTGGTCCACTCATTGTTGGGCAGCTGATGGACTGTATTATGCTAAAGATATCGCGATTATTTTGCCATTCTACTATTGATCCCAGGTATCACGGCAGGTATACGGTAAGGGATCAAAGCTGAAAATTTCGATTGAAATTTGATAGAGGAAGTCATTTCAAGCGGTGGTCACAAATGTGATCTCGCTATGAAATAAAAGATTTCTACGAGGTTTCCGAAGATTTACGGTTCAAAGTCTTACTTTGGCTCCTCACCTTAACAAATGGATACAGTCTTCGTACTGATCAGGTGTAATAATTTTTCAAAATTACTATAGTTGGCAACCTCTTATTTTTTTCTTGAATATCTACCCAAGCAACTCAAAGTCCAGAGGTGCTAATCGTAGATATCATTCACTGAATCAGTATAGACCATTCTGCTCTTTTTTCGTACTCTATGGATCAAAGGGTGGCTCCATTTTCTCAAAGACGTATTATTAAGCTATTATATAAACAAGTGTTCCTTCTTTTAGAATTGACTTACATACAGATAGTAATCCGCAGGCATCGTCAAAAAAGGATTTAGGGAGTATACAAAAGGATGCTTACTGCATCTCAAGTTTCTTAACCTTGGCTGGATAAGCAGGTGCTGGAGTTGGATTGGGACCTGAAATATTAGGTTGGCTAGAAAGTTCTTGCGTAATTCAAACAAAATTCAATAACTTTTCAATGACTAAACCTAAATTCACAATCTTGTATGCTAAAAATATTAGAATTTTTACGCTTCATGATGAATTTTTAAGCGCAAGATTTCATGAGCTAGCCCCCGAGAACGAAGCTCTCAAATATGGCACTTCAAAATTTGCAATTTTGAGTTTGGTGCCAGAAAATCGCAGAGTGCCGCTAGCTAGCCGAAAAAGATCTGTAAAAATTACTTACACTGCAGAAGTCCATAAGTTACTTTGAAAGGCTTTGATCTTGCACGGTGAAGCAAAAACAAAAAATTCGTGAAATAGTCATTTTGCGGAAAAAATTCACTCAATACCGCAGTTTTTCGGCAAAAACATTTTTTACACTCCAAAAAACGTCGCAAGGTTCTAAATAGGCAATACGTCATATTTCTGGTTGGAAACTGTGTTGTTGTAGAAAAATTACATCGATAAGGGAATTTATCCTGTAAAATGACAAATTCCACAAATTTTTTGTTTTCGCATTTCCATGCGAGATTAAAGCCTGCTAAAATGACCTATGGGCTTCTGCAGTGTAAGTAATTTTTACAGATTTTTTTCGCCTAGCTAGGGGCACTCTGCGATTTTCTGGCACCAAGCTCAAAATTACAAATTTTGAAGCCCCATATTTGAGAGCTTCGTTCTCGGGGCTAGCTCATGAAATCTTGCGCTTAAACATCCATCTTGGAGCGCAGGCCTTTTAATATTTTTAGAGAACAAGATTGTGAATTTAGGTTTAGTCGTTGAAAAGTTATTGAATTTTGTTTGAATTACGCAAGAACTTTCTAGCCAACTTAATAGTACTAGACTAACATGGGCAGTAGAGCGATTTGAGCGAAAGCAGTAACCAGCATTCTCCCAGGCAAGGATAGTACAGGTTGACCAGATGGTCTATTGGAATCACGAATACAAGGAAATCCAGGTTAAGCGGAACTAGGCTGTCCCGGTTATCTATAGCCCGGTGGTGCTCCTGCTGCTCCATTATCACCAGGTTTTGCCAGTCTAGGGCTTCATGGTGCTCCTAAATTACCTTTCCGTCTTGTCTTGTGCTGGCGCTCCGTCGTATCCTGGACTTCTAGTTGACCCAGAATCTTGGCTGGTACTAGTGATTCAGGCTGACCATCGTTTCCAAGTGCACAAGAAGCTCCTGACTGCCCGTCGGGTCCCGGCTGTGGATCAGGTGGTCCTGCTGGACAGTCAGTGCATGCGCTGTTCTGTGGATACTGGACAGCGCATTGGACAGGAGCACAGTAACCGCGTTGGGCTTGCTGGACAGGCTGTTCTGGAAGGGAATCTTTTATCCTCACCCTCATATAAATGGATACAAATGTGACCGTCCAGGCTGTCCTGTGATCCTAAAGAACAGTTGGCGGTGGGAGGTGCGCTGGCAGTATACGAAAGAAAAGCCTATCTCTTCTCACGGAAGATGGAGCTGAAGGGGATCTGACGAGGCTCTGGAGAGACATACTTCAGAGTCCATCAGCTTGGTACAGGCTGAACTGGTTCCACGAAATACAGAAACCCATAGAGGACCTCAGCGTGAGCTGGTCACGCTCAACCACCTCCCGAACTTCGTCTCATATGTCTTGGAGCTTTTATGGCTATATCGCTTATTCCTTTCTCTTATCAGCTTAATTATCTGCATCAAAAAGCCGCTCGAATTTGCATAAGCAGCCTTCGTGGAGAGCACGCATGAAAAGAACTGCCATCTCCCTAAAATATGCTGCCAATATCATTCGAATACAGACGTATTCTGCCCGCTGAACGGATAGAAGTCATCGTTCATAATACTGATATTTGATTTTCTTTATTCTCACACTTTGATGATGCCATTCAAATTCTAGTATACATAGTTAAGGGCCGGGAGTCTCAAATGTTTAGAAAAAAATGCTGGCGCCTCAATGATGGGTAAGTAAGAACTTGCCGGAAAGCAGGATAAACTCAGCATGAGCGGAGCACTTGCAGAAGGCAAATCTAGCAAGTTTGTCTGACTGTTAAAGAAATTTGCTGTCGTGGATGTTTAGGCAAAGAAATCATCTAAAAGCTCTTGATTTTGCGGAACCTTCTCTGAAAAGTGATTTGATAATCATGTAATACGCTTGAAAATGAGTGTTCTAGCCAAATATCAGCATCTTTATTGTCCAGGTACGACAACTATCAAAATCAACTCGGACTCACACCTGAAAATATTGCAAAATAAACTTTGCGTGTGCAGTAAATCTTCACTTTTATTCAAAAAGGCGTTCGCCATTATTCCGTTTGGAATTGATGTGTAAGTTTTAATACTACAAGAGATTTCATATAATTAGCAAACAACCTGTAATCATCGTGATAGTTGAGGCAATAAATAAGCTTTGATTATTCACTGCTTCGAAAAGAAATTACGGTACACTCAGTGCGGAGGTCAGAACCCGTAACTCACAAGATTTCCAAAAACTTGGTAAAACATTAAGTGAGAGCGCGAACGAAAACTGAAAATGGACTATTCAGATATAGTAGAATCTATGAGTCTTGTTGTCCCCTTTCCTTGTGGAACTCTATTGCTGTTGAGTAAATGAAGAGCGAAGTGAAAGCACTTCTGCAGATCAAACGGCACGATATCCACGTAGTTGAAAGATGAGAAAAAACGCAAAATTGGACATTTTGTCGGGTATCTATAGCTTATCGGATGACTATGTTTTGAGCACGTTTGAAAATCTCCATGTATTTGGTTTCATGATGTCAATGTAAGACCAGTAAACATTTTTGTAAAAATCGAGGTTTTTTATAATTGATTCTTGTAAACTTTCCACAAATTTCGATGTCTCGACTCTGTACATAGCTAATGGAAATAGTTCAGTTTCATTCTATCTTTTACTAGAGTGAGTCAAAAGTAGTTAAAACACATTATTTCTTAGACCTATCCTCAAATAGGAAGACAAGCAAGTGCTCTAAACAGTACCCGATAAAATTTTTCGGTAGTTTTCCGTTATCCGGACCCATTTTTGCAAAGAAGGATACTGCTTCTTTCCCTGCACCATATTTGTTCCCAACTTCATAGGAAAGAGTGTCAACGGTTTGCCACGTGTCAAAAAAAAATTTGACATGCCACCTACATGTTTAACAAGTTTTACCAAGAGTTCGCGTTGCCCTACCTAACGACATATGCTCAACCTTTTTTGGTCAATAATGACCCTATTTTCGATTAAACAATTTCAAAAATGACTTTTAATAATAATAAAGTCGCCCTCTTATCAATGAACATACTAGACATGCCCAGAATAGAGAAGTGCGCTAGGGTTCCATCACCTACGCGGCGAAAAGCAGCAGCGAGGTACTACTTCAAGCGATCATTTGTAGACTTTTCTGGCTAAACGGCGGAAAGTTTGAAGAGAAATACATTCTTGAATCATTGCTTGAAGCAATCAATATATTCTAGTAATGGTTATAGATTGTTTTGCTCTTATGTAAATCAGCTGGAGAGCTTCTAAGTGGTTACAAATGCTCTTTTACCTCACCGGAAATGATTTCGAAAAAACGTGTCATAGTGGACTAGAACGTGTCAATTTTTTCCTGACACGTGGCAGGGAGGCAGTCCTCGTAGAATCTGTGATAATTTGTACTTAGACTACCAAACGTATTTTATAAGAGCTTTTTGAAAAAATGGGTCCGGATAACGGAAAAGTACCAATTTTTCTTCCTTTTTCAACCGCTCTAATTTCCAACTGATTGACTTCGTAATCGCTGAAATATCTGCAGAAGTGTTGTCTTCTGTTATATTATGCCAGAACCAGGTTTTTACGGTGGTAATGTTTATTGACCTGACGCGTTTCGACTAAGTCGTCGTCTTCGGAGGTCTGAAAACAAATTGCAGTCTTCTTTCATCCACGGAGCGAAACCGCCAAACGCCATCACCAGGCATTGCTTTGTCCAGACGTTGTCTCATGCACAACGTACTGAGAAACGTATAGATGAAGAACGAACCTCAGATCCACCGTGGTGTTAGTGAAAGTTAGTAATAGCCGCACGAAAGTAGCGGGCGACACTGAGTACTACTCAGTGTGCGATGTCTTTATATGTGCAGGCTGCAGCTCGCATATCGACAAAAAAGGCAAGAGGTCGGTCGTTATAGACAAACATTCATTTTTGCTATTCATGCCAGGATTCCTACTGGAAATCCATGCGGCTTCCATGATCTTCCTCGTAGATATCTCTGTCTCGTACGATAAAATCGTGCACTTTATATCAAAATCACCACTACCGTGCGCCTCGAGCTTATGTTTTCCCAACGGTGATGCTAAATTTCCTCGTCTTTTATCTGCTAAGTGCTCTCTGACTCTTACGTGTAGCGCTCTACCCGTTTCTCCTATATATATCGCATCGCAGCTCAAGCATTGTATTTGGTACACAACTCCTGACTTTGTACAATCACCTACTTTTCCGTGTGGACAAACAATGCAATTTTCGCATACACATTCTACATCATACAGCCTATTTCTAACCAACTGCTTTTTGATGTTATCGTTGGGAATGTTCACAAGCATGACATCATCTTGCAGCTGGGCTCGGGCTATGCATTGTTTGATTGCCGTACTGACTTCGTCGCAGATGAATGGTACGCAGAAAGGAACTTTGCTGCCATTTCTTTTTGTAATTTGACTACCACTACCGTTAGCAGGTTTACGGACATGATATTGTGGAGACGTGTAGCCATTACTTCGCGCGATATTTATAGCCAAATTTCTAGATTCCTGTTGTTCTTTTTCACCCGTACATACCGCAGTAGCAGTCTTGAGCATGTTTCGAATGATGGCTCGTTTGACTGCAGTTGGATGTGCTGAGTTGGCGTGCACCAAGATGT